CTGTTGTTGTTGTTGTTATGTTCGTCTTTGCCTGCAAACAAAATCTTGTTTTTTTACTGTTTTATCCGTCAATTGTTTTACGAAATTATTTGTTGTAATGTGAACACCGGGCAAACAAACTTTTACTATTTGTATTGAATTGTGTTTGGCTTTGTTTTTTCAAACAAAACGTCAAAATAGAAATACTCATTTTAAGCACATTATGAAATAAAAATGTATTTAATTTTTTGTTTTTAGGCAGAAATTTCTATGAAATCGTAAAAAATATTATTAAATAGTTTTTTTTAACGTTTAACAAAAATATTTCAATTTTGGTGTTCACATTAAGAAAATATTTGTAGGTTGACAAATAAAAATGTTTCACGGAAAACAGCTGATATTTTGTTTGCTCTTCAAAAATATTTTGTGTTCACATTACAGCCAACAAATATTTGATAAAAAACGTCAAATATTTGATAGGTGTGAACGTACCTTAAGATATACACAGAACATACTCATGTGGAATTTATCCGGATATAATCATTTAATAACGAATTAAGTGGTATTAAGTGATTTGCAAAAGTAAACCTTATATGGGAGCTAATACAACTTATGGGCCGACCCGGAAAAAAATCCGTAGAATGATTTATATACACAAAATACACATTTATATCGAATTTTATCCCGATAACTTTGATTGTCAACGTGCATTTAAGTAATTTTCGGGAATGATCCTTTTATGGGAGTAGTGACCAATTATGGACCGATAAGGAAAAAATTTCGTATAAATATGCAAAAAAAAATCAAGTTGAATTTTACTCCAATAGATTTATTAATTAATGAAATATGTGAGTTTAATTGATTTTCGGAAGTAGACTTTATATAGGAGCTATGACCAATTCTATCCTATCCGGAAAATTTTCGTAGAATGATTCATATGTACACAAAACATATTTGTGTAGATTTTTATCAATATATCTTTATTTTATAATGAAATATGTGCGTTAAAGTGAGTTTGAAGTGGACCTTATATAGGAGCTATTACCAAATATGGACCGATCCGGAAAAAACTTGGTAAAATGATATATGCTCACATAACATATTCAAATCGTACTGTATGCCGATAGCTTTATTATTCAAAGAAATGTATGCGTTTAAGTGATTTTGGTAAGTGGACCTCATATTGGAGCCTATCCGGAAAAAAATTCGTAGAGTGACTCATATAAAAACAAAACATATTTGTGTCTAATTTTATCAAGATAACTTTATTTGGCAATTAAATTTGTGCGTTGAAGTGATTTTCGGAAGTGGGCCTTACATTAGGTCTATTAGTTTCCCAGACAAACGACAACGCCAATTTATTACTCCAATGTTCACATAAATGTTAAAGTTCTTCTCGCAAAATTTGAAGATTTTAGCTATAATAGTTTTTCAAATATACGAATTTTGGTAAAAGTCCTCCCTTTATCTCCAAAATTTTCAGATGAATATTAAAGTTCTTCGTGCAAAATTTTAAGAAGCTAGTTCTATTAGTTTCCCAGATAAACGAATTTTTGTATATTTTATTCATATGGGAGGAGCAACGCAACATTGGTAGTCCGCCAATTTATTACACAAAATGTTTACATGGATGATATAGTTCTTTGTGCAAAATTTGAACCTTCTAACTATAATAGTTTCCCAGATAAGCGAATTTTTGTATTTAATTCATACGAGGATACCACGCCCCTTTCTTAAATAACAATATTGATACTAAAGTGGTTTGAGGACTCTGTTTGTTATATTTTCTCAGATATACTAATTGAAGATTTTCTTTATATGGAAGGTGCCACGCCCACTATAGACATTCCGCCAATTTTATCCAAAAATATTCTTATGGATGTCAAAGTTGTCCATACAAAATTTGAGGACACCAACTCTTGCAGTTTCTGAGATATGCGAATTTTAATACTTATTTTTGTTATGTTTGTTTGTGTATTAAACGGATGAACTGATTTTCTTGAAATTTTCACAGCGTATCCTAAATGTCTGAAATAGGTAATAGGCGGAGTAACATTAGGGGGTGTAGCACTTCCCATATAAATTAAATACAAAAAATTGTTTATCTTAAAAACTATTACAGTTAGAATCTTAAAATTTTTGAAAAATAACTTTAACATCCATGTAAACATTTTGGGTAATAAATTGGCGGACTACCCAAGAGGAAGCGGCACCTCCAATCTTAATTAAATACAAAAATTCATTTATCTGGGAAACTAATAGAACTAAATTCATAAAATTTTGCACGAAGAACTAAATTATTCATCTGAACGTTTTTAAGGAAAAAGAGACTTTCATCTGGAGTTGCTTGGAGCCCCCATATGAATAAAATTGAAAAATCGTATATCTGAGAAACTATTAGAGCTAGAATCTTTAAATTTTACTTGAAGAACTTTGACAGTCATCTGAACATTTAGAGTTTAACGGGCGGACTTACAATGGGGGAGTTGGTACCTCCCATATGAATTAAATACCAAATTTCGTTTATTGGGAAACTAATAAAACTAGATTCTTCAAATTTTGCACAAATTACTTTAATATTCATATAAACATTTTGAGGAAAAGGGCGGACTTTCATCTGGGAAGCTTGAAGCCCCACATGAATTAAATAGAAAAATTCGTGTATCTGAGAAACTATTAGAGCTAGAATCTTCAAATTGTACATGAAGAACTTTGACATTCATGTGAACATTTAGAGAATAACGGGCGGACTTTCAATGGGTGTCTTGGCACCACATATATGAATTAAATACAAAATTTCGTATATCTTGAAAACTGTTAATTAAAATTTTTCATAGATAGATAAAAATTGGCTATAGATAGAAATTGCCGAATTTGCAATAATCTCTCATATGTAACATATTGCTAATCTGGAAAACTATTGTAGTTAGAATTTTCAAAATCGTTGAGTTTTTTATTTATATTTATATATTATAAATCAGTAAATTAGTTGAATCTAAACCTATTTTTTCTCAATGGAAGCTGAGGCGTTTTTACAAACTGTTTTATATAAGAAAATCATATTATTTATTAATGTATTGGAAGCAGGCCACTATCGGGCGCTGTTTTCATGGAAGAATTAGTTTTGTTGGTAAAAAAACAACATAGTGTCCACTGAATGTATTATCTTTCAATGTTCTGAAACTCAGTTTCCTGGCCGTAATTCCTAAGAATTTCCTAATCAGTGTTCATGAGAAATGTTCCGCTTCAATGTTTCAAAGTTTCCGACATATTCTATGTCTGCTATGCGATCAGGCACGTTCGATGATTGTTTATAGCCTTCTAATGTGTCCAGTATACATTGATAACCGCTTTTGGCCAGTTCACCTGAAGTTATCAGCAGTTCGGTTATAAGTGCCGCCTCATATCTTAAATATGTTTCAATGAGTGGAATATCTAGCAACGTTGTGCTTATGGCACAACTTGTACCCAAGCAGCATATACCCTGTTGTAGTTTGATATTACACTTTTTGTCCAAAGAAGTCAACCAGATTATTGAAACATAAGCTAGAATTTATCAAATTACACTTTTATAAATGTGTCATAGTAGGAATAACACCCCATTTCAAGCCTATTGTTCTCCTTCATATCGCCAGCACCGATGTGCCTTTTTGATTCTATCCTCTAAATTTACTTTTCTGAAATTTACTTTTAATATCAACATTTTTAGACACAAGAGATTTAAATTTACATAAAACTGAAATGTTGCTAAACATATTTAAACACATAAATAAGTAATTTTAAACATTTTGTATTTATATTTTTGCATACAGAGTGTGTAAAATTTTTTTTCAACATGTATTTTTACCTTAATTATACTAGAAGTCTGGTTACCTAAATTGAATGGGGAAAATTTAAATGAAAATTTATAAGAGTGTAGCAGATTTTAACCAATTTTAATACATAATATTAATAAGATATCTTTATCAAAGCCTGTGTTGATCTCTCAAATCTCATATCGTCACTTGAAATGCAAAAAATTAGTCACTTCCAAAAGTCAGAAAGTCCTTTTTTGATAATAATAGACAATTTCTGACAATACAGTTATATTTAAATGATATTTGGATACAATAGTTGTAAGAAAATGTCGTTTTTATAACAACAATAGCTTTCATTTTATTTAGTTTCTCTCCTGTAAAATTTTTAAAAGTGTTGTTACTTGTTACAATTTTTTGCTTTCAGGTGACGATATAGAACATAATTAAATTTATACCTATTAAAAAGATTTATTGGCATTTAGAATTTATTGGTATTTTAGAATTGTTTCAAAAAATCATCAACATTGATTTTATTTTTTAATTTGTGGGCTACTTAAAATCTGCACTGAAAACCGTATTAAAAAATCCTAAGTCGCAGTACACATTTTAAATATGAATTAGAAAATGTATTCCAATTGTTATGAATAATTTCTATATTACTTAGTCGAATTTTTCAATAAACATTTATTTTATATACACAATTTTCGGTCAATGCTATGTTGGAATAATAAAAAGTAAATATACAATAAAATCATTAACTTTTTTCGGTAAATCAAACCTAGTACTTTTAAGCATATTGTTCTATAAATAGAGAAGAAAAACAAATTTTCAAATCGATTATAAACTTGTGAAATTTAAAATGAACAGTACCCTTTAAATTTATCACCAATTCATATGTATGTGTCAACATAGCAGCCGTGAGAATTTCCAAAATGTTCGTGCAGGAACAAAGAGGCAACGAAACATTCTCCTGCAATATACACTGTCCGTTTGTGTAGCCAGTACAATTGTTGTGTTGTAATAAATTTTCCGATTGTGAGTAAGTGAGCGAATACATATTACATACAATGTTGTTCCGCTCCAGTGTCTACTGTTAAACTCACAGTTGACGTTGCAAGGAATAAATGGAAAAGGAAACAACAACAATAAGATGGTTCACACACACAGACAGACACACAGTTCCAATGGAGGTGACCTAATCCAGGTACTGCAGAAAGTGAATTCAGTTACTGTCTTAGTTTTGAGTCGCATGGTATCCGTCGGAAGCCATTGATGTTTGTTGATGTTCTACGAACAGGTTGCAAATTGTTTTGTTTGCTTTTTGCGTGCATCATTAAACGTGTTTGTTCGAATGTTCCTGGTGAAACCTAAAGAGAAAAAAACAAATAAAAACAAACAGCTCCTGTCGAAAGCCATCCATACATCCATCCATCGAATGTTTATGTAAAATGAAATAAAAATGCACAACCGTTTGTTCTCTCGCGGGTATTTTAAATTAGAGTCATTTTCGTAGTTTGTTTCTATTTTCGCAAATTATACATTTTATTTGGGGTACTTCCGTTTCCCACTATACACAATCGGTGTCATTCTTTTCGCCTGTCGATGCATACATGCACTAAAAGGTACAACTAACCAAAGAGTGAATAAGTGAATTTGTGAGTGAAAAGAGCAGAAGTGGGAGCAAAAATACTCGTACACTTGCACACGGACCGACTGACAGACTGAATCATATGCAATTTGTAAATAATCAATACCATCGGGTGGGGGGGTCAGTAGTAATTTTAATTTTTCAGCATTTGTTAACGTTGATATAATAAAAGAATCTCATATTTAAAATTGCTCGTATAACTACAGAATGTGAGTGAGTGTGTCTATATACATATTTATCTGTCTGTCTCGTAAATGTTTGTGTATAAAACAAATTAAAAATCTCCTTGTGTATGCACGAGTGTATGAATAAATTGTATTTGTTGAGAAGAAAATCAAATAAATCTGTGGTTTTGGAGTTTAGAGTAAGCATGACTATGACTACCACGATAGCAGCTACACTAATACTATTACAACAATTTCCACTACCACTAGAACAACTACTGCAATTACTGTAAGTCCTTGCTGTTGCAGTTTTTAGTTGTACTATAGCATCATCCATCTATCTATCGGTCGGTCGTACATTGAGTCGTTTGTTTGTCGGTCGGTCTGTCGGTGGTCGTTTGTGTATGTCTTTAGTTCCCAGAATATGGATGAGGAGTTGCATCGCTCCTAATCCTTTTTGTAGGGTTAATATTGTTGTAATTGCTTAGGCAAATAAAATAATTGTAAATACTCGGCAATAAAAGTGTTTTAATGTCTGTGTTTGTTTTTCTGTGTTAGATAGTGGATCTGCATATGTGTCGACGGTTTAAACTCTACACAATTTCAAATTTGCATGAGAGTGAGTGCGTGTGTTGAAATTGCAATTTCTCATAGTTACAAACGTATGTATTCGTTGGCCATAGCTTTTGGCCCAGGCAATAACAATAGCAATAATAATAACAACAATAACAATAGAAAAAAGGCTGGGTAATACTCTTATAGCCTTCGGCCTAACATGCATCAAGCCAACAGCATCTCGACACACAATAAATCTGGATTATATTACAGCCACTTTTGGGAATAAATATACATAAATATTTTACATTTTAAGGTAAGTTTACTACTACTACACATACACCAGATCATGAATATGCCATACAATGTATAACAGACAATTTTTAATATCTTTCACTCCTACAATTCAGATTTATTCCTACCGTTAAACCAACCATATATACATATTTTGTCAGACAGACAGACAGACAGACGGTAGAATAGACAGTCATTCCAAGAACGAGGGCGGTATACATACAATACATACATACATTAGGGAGTATGATGTTTTTTAAATTTTAATTTTGAGAATTTCAGGAAGATTTAGTATAAAATGTTTTGTTGTTCTACATTAGGAACAACTTATGTTACATAAGTTTGAAAGAAATAATATTTTCAAATATTTAATTTCGTAAAGTGAATAAATTGAACATATGGTTTTAATAAATACAAAAACACAATTTTTTTTAGAAAATTCATTAATGTTTTAATGAAACCTAAATTTCCTTGCGTAATATTTTATTAAATTTATTTTAACGAACTCAATTCCAATTTTGTGACCAGTACTCAAATATCAAAATCGGCACATGTTCATTTAGTGATCTATAATATCCAGGGCAAGGATATCTATGCAAATGCATGTTTGTAGTCAGTAACTCAAAATAACTTTTAACAATTTTTCTTCTCGAATCAAAGAATTTTCTACAAAATGGCATCGATTTGATGTTGCATATTTTTGCATATTTTGTTATAAATGCATATATTATATAATGGCATCGATTTGTTGTGGCTTATTTTTGCATATTTTGTTATAAATTCATAAATTTAGCATATTTCTAACATTTTTATTACATATTCTTAATTTTTCTAACAAAAATTGTGTTTTGTTTTCTTTGTATTAAACATTTTTACAATAATACTTACATATTTTGATTTTTTTAAATAAATAAAAAAAATATTTAGCAACAAAATACTAGGTTCCTTCTCTGAAACTATGGAAATAAGTTTTACACAGTTTTAGTTACTTTTTAAAACCTACACCACTATAGTGGGGAAGGTATTATGCGTTTGTGCTGATGATTTTAATGTCCATAAATATTGGGTCAGAATCGCTTTCTGAGTCTGTATATCTGTGTGTCCATATAAAGAATAAACTTGACGAAATTTTGCCCACACATATCTCTCACCCTAGCCCACATATAAAATATTCTTCAGAAAATGGCTTTATCATCCATAATTAACAGTCCCACAGATGAACCCTCTTTCATATCATATTTAAATATATTCGAAATTGGTGTAGGGTATCGTATGGTGGTTTGCCGTACTTTCTTGTTTTTATTGGGACATGTTTGTTGTTCTTGAGATCGGGGTTAAATTTAAATTGGTATTAGAGTACATAAAGTCATCAACAACCTATACATATGTGGTCGAAATCTTAAGTTCCCTACAGTACGAGAAGTGCCAATTGACACCTTTCACTAGTTATATTACCGCATATCCAACTAACTCGAAACGTTCACTACATTTCACCATTCACGTTCACTACATTTCACCATTGTAATCAATAGTTCATATTTGATAAATTTTCGCATGAAATTTATGAAAATAAATTCCAGAAAAATTATATGTTTTAAAAATGTCACATTGATAGCCACATGTAGTGCTTAAAGTAACCGCATGTCACATTTCTGACGAAATGTAATGCTAAAAGGGACCGTTTGCATTTAATGAAGCAGAAAATGCAAAAATTGTTAAAAAAAATTCTTGTTATTCATAACAACAATTAGAGCTTTGTGTGAAAAGGAGGTCAGCAGCACAGTGGTGAGAGCTTCTAGCTACTAAACAATAGACCCCAAGTTCAACCCCAGTTTTAGAATTTATTTTTTTGTTTTTTTTTTTTTGGAGAATTTGAACTAGTGATATTTATGGAATCATGTTATGCATACGGTGTCAATCGGCCACTCTCAATGACATCCCCATGTTAAATTCACCAGTAAATAACATCGCTAGTGGGTTGAAAATTCACTGGTTGTTCTTAGTGGCTGTTAATATCGCCGTTGTTGAACTAGTTCGTCGTACTGCAGGGTTCTAAATATCTACAAATACATATGTACTTAAATAAGATAAAAGAAAAACAAGTAAGAATGTATAGTCGAGCGTGACCGACCATATGATACCCTACACCAGTTATGAATATTAAATGTGAATTATTTTTCATAATAAAGCATTTATCTTCAATATTACCTTGTTCTGATACATTTCAGCAATTTATGGATGAAAAACTAATTTTCTAAATGAGGCTTTATATGGGGGACTGGGGGCAAATATGGACCAAGTCCGATAAAGTTTTGTGAATGTATTTATATAATATTTATTCGTGCTGGATTTCATCGCGATATTTGTGCTTACAAGTTAATTTTGTGCATTCAAGTAATTTTCTGAAGGGAACTTTGTATGGGAGTCAAATGAGGACCGATATTTATGAAATTTGGTAAGGTCATCAAGACTTGTATAAAACTTAGTTGTGCCGCTTTTTATCGATATACAGGTATATTTAACATAATTATGAGCTCAGAAGCCCTTATCGGGGTGTTCTGTTGTATGGGGGCTAGGTGAAATAATGGACCGATTCCAACCAAAAAAAGCGTATGTGCCAAATTTCATCCAATTAACGTGGAAATTGCGACCTGTACCTTGCGTACAAGGTTTACATGGACAGCCAGCAGACGGACGGACGCACATAGCTTAATCGACTCAGAAAACGATTCTAAGCCGATTGGTATTTTTTTAAGGTGGGTATAGGACGAATATTTTTGTATGTTACAAACATCAGCACAACCCAATAAAGTGGTGTAGGATATAAAAAGTGATTACAACTGCAATTTTTTCATCGCTATACTCGTACTTCTAAAGCAGTTATGCCCGTTAAAGCCGTTTTTTGGAGGTCCACTTATATGGGGGCTATCCGAAAAAGTGGACCGATAATGCGCATTTTCAATACCAAACAAACCTTAGCGATAGAGAATATTTATGCAAAATTTCAACTGTCTAGCTCCTCCCGTGTGGTCCCAAACGTGATATCAACAGACAGACCGATAGACGGGCGGACGGACATGGCTAGATCGTCTTAGAATTTAATAAGGTCCCGGAGTATATATACTTTTATGGGCCTATGACCAATATTTCGATGTGTTACAAACGGAATGACATAATCAATATACCTCCATCTTTTTTGATGGTGGGTATAAAAATACTAATTTATATCTGGTAAGAGCATTCTTCTACTTTACAGCTGATGGAACACAGTTTTTATAATAGATCTTTAAATACAAATTTTCATGAAAACCCCCTAATGTATTTATACGAAGTACATACATATGTATGTATGTACGTATAAATATGTATATGTACATACATATGTATTAGGGATGCCAAACGGGACTGGCTTTTACAAATCCCGGGATTCGGGATTTTGAAAATTGCAATCCCGGGATCCCGGGATATTTCGGGATCCCGGGATTTTTCGGGATCCCGGGATTTTTCGGTATTTCGGGATTTTACGGGATTTCGGGATTACATGAATTTAATTATTTTATATATGAAAATCTTTAAATCATCATATTTGTAAAGAAAATTGTTTAATTTTGTGGAAATTTAACAGACAGAAGATATATTTAAATTAAAACAATCCAATTAATTCCAATTTTTAAATAAAAACTTTTAGAATTGCATAATTTCTGAAACTTTTTAAATACATACTTACTTCCTAAATAAAAATAAATATCAAGTTCCGAAATTAGACATAAGCACTTTTTAAAACCTCATACTGTTCCATGTGAACTAATAATTATAACTGATACCAATTCAATTATTCGAACATCAATTTAAAACCTATTCTTTGAAAAATATTTGGAATTTTACTCAAAATACATATTAGTTTTGGAACATATTATTATATTCGTAGTATTAATTTAAAATTTTAGGTGCATTCAGAACAAGGTAATTTACCTTTACCGGTATCATTCAGATTTGTAGAAAGTTAGAAATGTAAAATCCTCTAGTATTGAAAAATAAAGTTTGTATTCGACTGTGCCGAAATTAAATACCCACCATCAAAATATTGTAATGTATTGATATTAATATCAGCATCAATGTGATTTTCAGAGGAGGTCCAATTAGGTTTTCTTGTGTCAATTTTGGTCCAAATTTGCAGCCCAAATAGAATGAGTCTTCTAACTCGTGTTTTCAGCTTGCAGACACAGAATGTGTATACTTTTTGGGTCGGTCTACGACCAACATTGCAATGTGCTAACAAGTAAAAAGTTATAGTTGGGCGAAGCCTACCATATAATACCCTACACCAGTTATAAAAATAAAATGTGATTTATTGTTTATAATAAAGCATCTAAGTTGAATTGTACCTTGCCTCAGATATAATTTAGCTATTTTTTGTTGAATAAAATTGTGTACATTTAAGTCATATTTCGAAGGGGGCTTTGCATAGGGGCTAGGGTCAAATGAGGCCGCATCATCAAAAAATACATCAGGGTCATGAAGGCTAGTATAGAACTTGGTTTTGCAGCTTTTTGTCGAGTTACGAGTATATTGAACATAATTGTGAACTTAAAAACCCTATTTGGGGGGTTCAGTTGTATGGGGGCTAGGTCAAATATTGGACCGATGTTATCCATTTTCAATAGGATCCGTCTCTAGTACAATAGAAGATCATGCAAAATTTCATTGAATTATCTTCAAAATTGCTGTAGTTTGATTACAAGGTTTACACGGACGGACGGACATAGCTAAAGGTAAGTTTACTACTACTACACATACACCAGATCATGAATATGCCATACAATGTATAACAGACAATTTTTAATATCTTTCACTCCTACAATTCAGATTTATTCCTACCGTTAAACCAACCATATATACATATTTTGTCAGACAGACAGACAGACAGACGGTAGAATAGACAGTCATTCCAAGAACGAGGGCGGTATACATACAATACATACATACATTAGGGAGTATGATGTTTTTTAAATTTTAATTTTG